TAATTATTTCATTAGTTCCAGTTTCTTTAATCCTTTGTCTGGTATTGTCATGTTGTGTTTTACACACTGTTTCATTTGTGTTTCTTCTCTATTGGATTCACTTTGATTAATCTAATACATTTCTTTTGAATTATTTTGTCTACCTTCGTCATTCTTTGACCTAAACTTGACTGAATAAAGGACCCACTAATAAAGAGGAAGTTTGCCTCGATTAACTTTGGCCCGATGGGGAACCCCTTTGAGCCCAACAGGGCAAATGTATTTATTTTCCAAGGAGGAAGGAACCTGGAGGCATATGTGGAGGAGTTCATCGTTGCCAGCCACCTCGTCATCTGCAGCGACAATTAGCTTATAGAGAGATTTTGTGTTGGACTGGATGACAAGATCTGCCTGGTGATGCTTCGTGGAAACTCCTGCTGGATGCTGGCCGAGTACATCAACTTCACCTTGTGGGTCATCGGATCTTGTTTTACTGTGGGTGATGTAGAGGAGGATCCCGCCGCCAGCTTCCAACCCCACTTACCATCCGTCATTATCCCAGAGCCAGGACCCAGCGCCCACGTCCACAGTGGACAAAGAGTCAGAGCCCACCGCAGAGAGACCCTGCACATCCCTGCCATGGAGATCTAGACTGAGATGGAGCCAGCAGCCACATTCGTCCTGGAGGAGGAGCCCGAGGTCCCGGCTGACCAGGTGTGTGAGCTGGCCATATTGTGTGCACCAGTGGGGATTTTAGTGGAGCTAGATGAGGAAAAATGGCTAATTGACTGAGAAACTGAGGTAGTGCTTCCCATCCTGTCCACCCATGAACCTTCCTCCTGCATAAGTGTATCATCATCTCTGATCCCACTGAGCTCAGTCTTCGTCATTGTTGATCCCACTCAGTTCAGAGTCTTCATTGTCAACAGTCACATCCAGTATAGAGTTTTCATTGTTATTGATCTCACTGCTCAGAGTCTTCATCGCCACCAGTCTTGTCCAGCACAGAAAGTTCTTCATCATCACTAGTTCATTCCTGCACAGATGGTTCTTCATCACTACCAGCTCTGTCCATCACTGAGCTGACTCAATCGCCCTGTCTTCCACTACTGCATGCTCCCCTGAAGCCAGCTATTCCCTCTGCTCTGCCTCCGCTGGCGCCCCTCAGCTCCATCCCGGCTCGTCGCTCCCTCGGCTCCACCATGGACCATCGCCCTGTTGGCTTCTCCGGGCTCCCTTGTCCCACCGGCTCTGCCCTCTCTACCATCGCCATGGACTTCCAGGATATCCGCTGTGCTCTATCCCTGCACCCCTATGGCTCCGTCTGGCTCTTCCTTCCCTCAGATTACACCTCGGTCCCCACTTGCTCCATCATCACCGTAGTTCTCTGGTGCCCTGGATCCTCCTCAGCCGCTCGTCGCTAGGACTCTGCCTTGACACTTCTGGTCCTTCATCATTGCCTGGGCCTCCTCATTGCACAGTGACACTTCAGCCAGTCAGGCTCAAGTTTCCTTCCTCCTCCCTCCATCGCTTCCGCCAGGGATCGCCTCCCTCATGGCCATCTCCTGGACTGCACTAGGATCTTGTTGGCCATCCATAGCTCATCCCTTCATAGCTCCTTCTGCCGTCTACTCCTCCTTGAACTCTTTTGTCTATCTATCGATCTATCTATCTATCTATCTATCTATCTATCTATCTATCTATCTTCGAGTTAGTCTTAAGACATCATATGCAAAACATTGACAAACTCAGCAGCCTTCTATGTCTTCTATGTCATACAAATAACTCATAAGGAACAATACCTTAATATCTGAAAAGTCCAGCCTCAAAATGATCCAGTCACACTGAAATTGTTGAGACCACCTTACCATAGGGCTTGAACGACTTCTGATTTTTTGAAGTCGACTTTTATGTGATGAAAGTCGAGTCGAAGTCGACTAGTCGCTGATGACGTCATTAATTAACAAATAAGTCTGGAGCTGTGATAAACACCTTGTGCACAGCTATGGCATATGACACAGCGCTGCCCACACGGCTGTTGCTCCTATAACAGCTTTTTTATTAGTTCTTTTGTCTTTTGGGTCTTTTGTCGTTATATTTCTCACATATTTCTGCTCGTTCTAAATCAGATACAGATAAAGTAGCGGTGTAAATGTGGAAGTCCTTCAAAGATTTATTATCCTGTTGTGCCCTCTATAGGACCAGCGACTAGTCGACGTCAAGCTTAAAGCGTCATGGCAGAACATTGAAGTCGACTAGTCGATTAGTCGGTGCAACCCCTACCTTACCATACTAGGTGCTCTCCACTGCCACTAAATATTTTCCTTTATGATGTTCCCATGTTCCATGGTGATAATCTCCTCATATACACTGCTAATTAATTGGTGGTTTAATACACGGCAGGATAAAGTGTAATGCCACCCACATCCTCTCTAGTCACTAGATCTAAACACCACTGATCTGAAGCAGAATAGATTTAGAAATAGATTTCCACTGGCTTTGTCCTAAAGACCCCAGGCTCAAGTTTTCTTGAAGAATGGGGTAAATTCCACTCCACACCATTCAGGAAATGTATGACAGCATTCCAGGAAGAATCAAAGGCAAAAGGTGGTCATACTCCTTATTAGGTCTTTGATATCAATATATTTTTAGGTTTCAAATTTTTTTGTCCACCCCCCGGGTGTGTGTTTATCTCTCTGTAACAGTTTTTCCAAACCAAATTCAAACCTCTGGTCTGCTGGTGTGGTTATAATTCTCCAAAGGCATGTATTAAACAGATGGTTGGCAGAAAAAAATAAGATTGTCAGAATCTACTAACACTACACGCTGTATTAAACTTGAGCCAAGTGAATGCGAGACTTTTTTTCTTTACATGACCGTCTTCCATGCTGATCTATACCACAGTTATGAGCTTAAGAGAGAAATTACAGGGTTCTCTTTTTGGCATGTGTTCATCCACTGTCGGATATATCTCTCAGTGAAACAAAAGAACTCTTGGGTAATCTTGGGTAATTTAATTCTTTTCTGGTGTAGAAAGCAAAGCCGCATATTTGTACTAAGCAGAGCACCATCTCTTATTGATCATTAATTTTCCTGGCTTCATTCAAGCCTTTTTTTTTTCTCCCTGTGTCAGTTTATTTGCTTAAGTTTGTTATTCTTTGGGTAAAATCATTATCATTTCCAAAAGTCTGGGGATTCGACAGGAAAAGAAACAAACCTCAAGTATGGGCTTTCTCTGAATGATATGTGGCCCGACTTCAAACATGCTCGACGAAGCTCATTTCAGGTGCTGATAAAATAACGATCTTTAATTTCGACAACATTTATGGCATCATGTGACCTACTACAAGAGAGTATCGACTTGGCAACCTCACTTCTAGCCCTCAAAGGAAGTGAAAATAATCTCATCTGATTACTATCACCTGTGTTTCTCAAAGCATCCAAAAGTTCTCCACAATCAGGGCAAGTGTTACAAAAATATATCGATATATTCTTTACAAGTCCAAATGAGACACCACAGCACTCACTCATAGCACATTTTTCCCCCCTCACTGCTCTGTACATCAGAAAGCTCTTCTTGTAATGTTGCCTGCTGAACAAATCATGTCCTTTGGCTAGTCTCCTCTGGGTCAGTGGTAAAAATAACTGCTTGACCTCCGGCATCATGTCTCCTCAGAGTTCTTTAAGTAGCGGTCTTGCTCTCTATGTCCAAACCAATTTCTGATTTAAAATCAGCTCTTGAATTTTAGTACATATAGAGCAGGTTTTAACGTCACAGGTATCAATAATGTAGCAAATATCTGATCACACTTGATGTGTTCGCAAAGTTTCTGGCATTTTCTTGCAAAGCATGATTGACTAGGACCAAAATTCGTATTTTCATTGAAGATTTAGTGATTTTTGCTTCATTGCATTGGTTGTAGTAAGGTAACATCTCGGTAACATTTTTAAAATGGTTTACCTTAAGTTAGGGTGACTATACATGCCATTTTCCCAGGACGCGTCCTGGCCAGGATTACTATATTGCCTAAAATATCTAGGTTTTGGCTTTGTTTGCGTGTGCAGACCGATCGGTGTATGACATCAAAAATGACGCGTCCTGGGAAAATGGCACGTATGGTCACCCTACCTTAAGTAGACTCAAAATGTCAATATAATATGTTTTTACAACAAAAACACAACCATAACAAAACCAGCTTTTAAAACAACGTAACTTGTACATTTGAATGAAGCATTTAAACGACAACCACAGTATTGTTGGCCCCTGGTAACCAGCATTGGCAACTTAGCGACTTTGTCGCTCGATTTAGTGACTTTTAAAACCCCTTTTGGAACTTTTCAAAAAAATGTACCTAGCAACAACTGTAGTCGCTAGGCGAGATTATACCAATATATACCAATAAAAATGATATACCATATACCATTGCATCTATAAAACTAGATATGGTTTATCCTAGTTTCCAAGACTCGCTGGTACAGTATATTGCCATCTAGCGACATTTAGCTAGCAGACTTTAGCTACTTTCCATTTAAAGTAGTTGGCAACAGTGATTTTAACAACATTTCTGCAATGTTTAAAAATCCAACATTTACCATTGTTATGTTTTACATTATTAACTTTCTCATGACTTTTAAGCATGTACAGAATAGTTGTGCTTGTTGCGACGGAAGTTCATTTTTGCTTCTTGGTTTGTGTGAGGTTGTTGTGTGAGTCTGACACAGCAACAGTGGCTCAACCAATGGCATGAGTTCGGGAAACCTGTTTGAAAACAGGTATTATTTTTGCTATACCATTTGCTGACAATAGTGGCAAAGATATTACAGAATTAAGTTTTAAAGCTAGTAATTTTTACTTTTAATGAACAGTTTATGATACTGCTTTTTAAAAAATTATCATGGTTGAAGCAGTACTGTCCCATTCTCTAACAAAATTGCCAAAAATGTTTGGTGTCTGAGCCAATAAATTTCACTATGTGAGCATGACATTCCCAGAGCATGAGAGTGTGTTGCATCCTTCTTACCCCATATTTGCACTGACGGGAGGAGGCACCGTACTGGAAACAACACTGCTCATCTGCATCGTACACCTGCCCTGGAGCCACAGTGGGGTACAGGAAGTCTCGTTTCAGAGGCTCATTGTCCAGACATGTTCCCCGACCTGAGCTGTCAAAAAAACAAACCTTCAATGGGATTGGCTTCTCTACAGAGGTTTCATCTGTGTCCAACAAGAGAAAAAAAGTCTCGTGACAAAATCTCACATGAAAGGGAAATGAAAGGCATAGTGTTAATGGGAATTAGCAAGCGAGAAACCTGGGAAATACAGAAGGCAAAATGAGGGAAGCGTGAATGACAAACAGTGGTCATAAAATGCTGAGATTTGGACTTATATGGTACTGCGGTGCGCCTATGGAATCCTTTGAAGAGCCAATAAAAGAAAGAAAGAGACTGAACGAGCAAAAAAACATAGAAGGTACCAGAGGTCACGCGTCCAGTCAAAGTTGTGTTTAGTCAGCTAGAAATATGAATGCTCCCAAGAAACCCTCAAAAAAGGGCCACAGCTCTGTCTGCAGCGAACAAAGTGAAAAAATAGAGCCAAAGCAGAGGCCAGGCGGTGCATGTTTTGTTGGACTGTGTTTATTCTGGGTTTAGAAGTGGATCTTGTTTTATTCTCGGCGTCCCCGTTACGGATGCTTTTCCCCCCTCCCTGGCGTGCGCAAGCGACTGAGAGACGTGTACGCCCCACGCCGCTGCTGTCCGCCGGAATAAAACAGCCAATTATTATCCCGCTGGCTTTTCCAGCAGCATGCCGCGGAATACGCTCTCCTTCTCTCTGAGGGAATAGTGGGCTTGCTAACAACATAAACGCTAACATTTAATACTGCTGGAGAGCAGGCGGCTCTATTCTAGGTTCTGTCTGGCATTCGCATGATTGCTGCAACTGAACGCGCAACCTAAAGCATGTTAACCAACCACCCCACCGTGCGCTGCTAAAAGCAACAGTGCTTCTAAAGAGAGTGAGTTTACATTGCATAGCCAAGACACACTAACCCTCTGACGGTATGCCATTACATTTTCAGACACTTTCTACAAGGGATATGTGTCTAACTCACACATTTATTGGTCTGAAGACGAAAAAATGGGAAGGCGTGACTTTAAAACTTAAATGACAACTATTTGTTTATATATATATATTGGAGGCCGGAGATAGTGATCACTGGAGCTTTAACTTGTTGAAATCACATAGTTCTTAAATTAGAATAATTTGTTTTAGCCTTCAAACTAAAATTCCAACATCATAATTTGCATTAAAAATTTTCAATATATATAAATATATATTATTTTATATACTATATTTAATATTGTTAAATATTTAACATGTACACATAAAACACTGTCCTGGAAAAAAAAAAAATGAATAAATGCAAATGTATTATTCACTAGAGTAAACAGTTTTGACAATCAGCCCTGGTTTCCCCTAAATGAGCTAAATGCGGTTGATAAAATCTTACATTAAATTAACAAAAGGGTATTCAAAAATATATTTAGATGTCTAAAAAAAAAAGCATCCTATGGATCTGGTTTCTGTAGTGCATTCAAGAGGAAGCATTAGGTGAAACAGGGATCTCTGGCTTCCCACAATACTGGAAGTCTAATCTAATTAAAAACTAAACCAAATACATTGGAAAGGAAAGAAACACATAAGCTGTAGCCTGGGGGGGTAACCAATGTTGTATTTGGTTTCATCCATTTAGTTTTCTATTTTTTCCCATGTGTTTTGGTAGAATAATCCCCTCGCCAGGGAGAAAGACGAATCTGAATATGTGCCCTTGTATTGGAATACACAAACAAAGACCGTTTATTTCTTTAGAGAAAGACAAAAATGATCACTTTTAAAATGGACATGTTTATTTGACATGTCAACAAAACTTCCTTGGGTAAACTCATTACAGCGATTACATATGTCAGCAATGAAAGGAAACTTAGTAACTATTTATAATATTTCAGCACAAAAACAAATATCTAAATAGGAAATTGCAAAAAAATGACACCTTGTCCATAGCAATCGTCTAACCTTGTGTCCTATCGATAAATTTTTTTAGAACAGTTAGTTTTCAAATCTAATTAGACAAGCCGTGTGCTTGTATTTAGTATAAAACACAGAGATGCTTGTATTGCTCAGTTTGACTGTGTTTGTGTCAGACTTTCTGGTTCAACGACGCGCAACGGTTGATGCTGCTTTGCTTCATTTGGAATAATTTTCTTTGGTGGAGTAAAAATAGACAAAATAACCATCCATGTTATGTCTATAATGTAAGTTAAGCGATATTAACTTGTCCCAAAACAAGGTGGCAGATGGTTGACATAACAACAAAACAATGTTGTTTTACATACACAAAACTGCAGAAATCTAATTAAACACCTTTTTACTCAATATTTTTCACAAATGTTTGAGAAATGTTTATCAGATGTTTATGGATATCATACATTTTGAAACTGACACAATTAATTGTCAATTGGTCAAAAGGCACATTTAATGGCCAATGTCAATCTCAAAATTTGCATGTATATATGCCAATTAACTAGCCTGCTTTAAACAGAAGCCTAAATTGCTTTTAGCCATTTTTCCAAAAGCCACTTTCTTTACTGAAGGTTCCTACTGTACATGTACAAACAAGCACACTAAAATAAGTCCAAATCTACAGCCAAACACCGGTTTCTGGCGAGGAAAGATCCATCCACACATCCAGAATCTAGATGGGGATGTTGTGGTAATAGACTAGCATTATCATAGCAGAGCTGTTTTACTGCCAAAGATTACATCAACCTGAGATTTCAGAGAAAGTCTATTATTGATGAATTGCTCGGCACTAAGCGAATCCAAAAAAGGAAGGTTAGTATTCAGCCTCAATCCTAAATGGTCACAGATGACACGGTGTGATTACAACAGGGAGTTCATCCCAAACCAACAGAGCAGCGTTTCTTTGTGTTTGTGTGGGAAGTTGGCACACGATGATAAAGCTTCTGATGCCAGCGATGGCTGTGATGTTAATCTTCTTCCATGAGGTCATTCACCAGGAAAACTTTTTGACAGCCATGGCAACCGCTATTATTTTCTTTCGTCTTACGTTAGGCTAACAATTCACAGACTTGCCTATGACTGCCTACTACAGATCAACTTCCACACTCTCATCTAGCCATGAACAGACTCTTTTTCAAATCCAGCACATTTGTGTGGTTACAAAAAATTAAGCCAATTGTTAAGTGGCATTATGTATCAGTAGTAAAATAGAGAGTAAACCCATAAAAGTAATCCTCTAATTGCACACTAGACATTTAATCAAGTTAGTTCAAATGTTCCATTTGGCAATTTAGGTTTTAGAAGGGTGCTCACAGACGCCCTCTTTCTCAAAGTGCTAAGGGCCTCATTTGGGACCAAGGCCAATCTGCCTGGACTGCTGCTACACAACATTTTTGAGTCATGGTGCACAGGTTTTTATCAATCCATTTGGAAGAAAAGTTACAATAAGTACTTTTGAGGAAAAATTTGCCACTATAGTTGCCAATGTTTTGATAATCTTTGAATCTTTGAACAGAGTGGACAGTTAATGGACAGCTATAATCAAGCTGCAGCAGTTTTTTTGTGTAGTTGAGTTGCAGTCTGTTTAAAGGTGGGGTCACATTAGTGAAATGTTGGCAAAATTTGGTGGACAACAAAGGTCCATTGTCTATTGTCAATAGTGTAGCGATTTAATCCTGACACAGAAGTCATTTTCAAACCAAGCAGCTTTCTGTTCATCAATACAATGTACACACATGATCAATCTGAACCTATTGTGAAATCTGCGATGGAAATTTGTCATCCTGCTGCAAAATTCCCAATTGTATAGATTCCTAAAATAACTGGATGATGCCTGCAAAAATTCGCCAAATAAAGGTAAATGTGGTCGCATCTTACACTTGACACAGTTGTGATCAAATATTTGTCATGCATCACCTCTATCTTTCAGATCTAATCTATCTAAAATCACCTCTATTCACCTAGAGATAGAATAGAATTCACCTCTATCTAAAATCTATCTCTAGATTTTTTACGAATCTGATCTACATTCCTTATTAAGGGATTTTAATGTGACTTTGCAAAAAAACAAAACATTTACAAAGACAAGTTTTATTCCGACCTAAATCAAGCATTTAAAGCGCCTGTAAACTTGCTAACTTAAATAGTAGAATGTCTGATTTCAGAATTTCAGATTGCCCGACACTTTATTTTGACAGTCCACTTTAGACATTCTACTTACTATAAGTAACTTTGCAACTACATGTCAACTAAAGCCCAATGTATATTTCACTTTTTATGCGATGGTCCATATACTGTGGTCGTGATGCAGATTTCATCACCAGAATAGTACGCGCATACTGTACACGCACCACCCAATTGGTACGTGCAGGTCGCACATGCGCACTGAATTTGTTTTGCACTAATCAGTTGTTCCACAAGGTGGCAACACTGGCCCGGGACGTTGCTTCACAGTAGAAAATAAAACTAAAGAGACGGAAATACAACAACAAGATACCCGAGACTGCAACAACAAACACCTATACTGAAGAGCACTTTTTTGAGAGGGTTATGAGATAGTCACAACTTTATTTTAAAAGATTGCAAAGATATTTTTATCAGTCATAACTTCTGGAGAAAAACAGAGCAGACACTGGACAAAGACTAAACTTCCTAGAGCACGTGTCGACCACCTGTGTTCAAGCATGCTATCAAATGGACACTTTGAAAGGCTATGCATTCGACTGTAGTCATATGCTAGCATACGTGTATAAAAACGAAGTATACTTTTGGGCTTCACTCTCATTAGAGTATTAATAAACTGGTTATGGTTAGAGATAGGGTTACGGTTAGTAGAATAAGTTGACACACTCTAAAAAATGCTGGGTTAAAAAGGGATAAACCCAGCTATTGGGTTGTTTTGACCCCGCTTGATGGGTCAAAACAACCCAATAGCTGGGTTTGTCCCTTTTTAACCCAGCATTTTTTAGAGTACATGGACTTGAAAATTGACTTATAGTCAGTAGAATGTTTAAAGTAAAAGTGTTACCCATGGTGTTATTTTACAGGTTGCATCTAGTTGTTAAAACTTGTTCTGCAAAACTTTTGTAAGATTTGCATTTGGTTCTACCAACATTAAGAGTGGGGTTAAGTGTATGCAGTGTATGCAACACTTTTCGCAGAATGAGAGTTACTATGTCATTATGTTTTCAGACTAGATGCTAATAGTCAAAAGTCGCCTATGTCTGGTTGAAATGTAGTGTTTTTTGTAGGTTTTTTAAGACTTCCTCACTGCTAACTAAGCCGGGCGCACACTGGGCGATTTTTAATAGTCCTTTACGATTGTTGCTTGTCAGACTGTACGAACATGATGATCAGGTCACACTGTGGGATCTCACTTGTCATTAATGTCAGACTCTACAACAGTCAAGACACGTTAAAAACGGCTGCGAGCAAGAAAACTTACCCATACACGTTCACTGCGAGCTGCATTACACGCGGGGCTGAAATGTTGGCTATCATGAAAAGTATATGAATGGCGGCAATAGCGGCATGTTTAAGAAGAATAGTGTAAGCAGCACTACAAACCCAAATGAGAACAGCGGTGCAACCAGTGTTTATCATAGCAAAGACAACATATCATATGAATTCTGTGAGTGGGGGATGGGATAAATCTCTAGCATCAATTCTGAAAAAACGAAGACAGTTTGACGTTCGTCATAGGAGAAGTCACACTGCAAGATGGTGCGCCAAATCTTCTGACACTGCCAGAATTTCGTCGGAGGTAAAATTTGATCTCAGCGGCCATTAATCAGCTGTCGGTGAACATGTCAAACCAGTAATCAAAGACTACAGATTTTAGCCTAGGATTATAGGAATCTTTTAGGATTTTCAAAATTTGTCTCAGACGACTAAATCATACAGTGTGAGCGGGGCTTTAGACCAACAAATGAGATGGAATAATGGATTATATTATACTGTATATGATTGCATTAGGGCAAGCATTCTTCAAATGCTCTTTTCACTTACTCCAAAAAGCTGGTGATATAGTCCTTGCTGCAGGCTGACCAGGAGAAGGGGTTGGTGTTGGCTGTGATATGGGCCGCCATCAGCTTGGCTGTCTCATGACCTTTGGTCCCACAGGAGTTCCCGATCCCATCGTGGTTCATGCCGAAACTGTGAGACAAGCAGTAGATCATGAACTTTGATGGATCACGTCAATCACGTCGCCCACCCTGCACACAAGCAAACAAGCTCGGGCAGCTCTGAAAGCTCAGGATCGGAGGACATCTCCTTCAGCTAAGCTGTAAAGAGAGGCTCTCTCTGGCTCGGTAACAGCTGTGAGAAGGGGACAGATGGGTCAAAGGCCAGAGGCTGTCTGGAGCTCTGAAGGAACGTGAAAGTTGTAATCACCACCCTGATCCAGGCCTGTCAATCAATAATTACACGTTTGAGCAGACCTCAATCGGGCAGTCATCTCTTAATGAACCTGGCCTGCCTTTCCCCCTTCCTCCAAGCTGCTTTCATCTGCTCACGGGCCATCGGCAACTCCACAAATACATCATTTGAGCTGTGCAAATTTTGCTCCCTTATTTATCTCTCTGGATATTGTATGAAAAAATCAGTTCACATTACGGCGAGACCTCTAAGCTTTCGTTGTCAGCCCGGGGTCTATCCAAAAGCAGAAGTCAGCCTCTAATGCATATAACATACCCCCCACCACATCACACAATTCCTCTGTGTTTTTTTAAGGCGCACATTTATGACATTTCACTCTACTCTCAATATAAATCAGCGCAGGAGAAACCGTCCCCACAAGATGCAGGGGCTATTTTTACAACTTCTCCACAACAGAAGCAGACGCAAGACATAATAGAGGAAACTGCCATCTCGCTGAACTTAGCCGAAAAGCTACATAGACCAATAGATCATGGTTATTTTTCTAAGCTTTTGGGATAGGGTTCGTTTGTCCAGACTTTCATTTGCATAAAGATGTGTGTGCAGGCAGTTCACGCTTGGCATTTTGGCTGGAGGATTATAAATAGTAATGACCACAATAAAACCAATCCAGACACAAATACATTATGAGATGTGAAAGTGTCACATGTAGAATACTGAGCAATTTTTCAACCACAAGGGCTTTAATAAAGTCCTGACCATCTCATTACACATTCAGGGGTGAAGTCACTGAACAGTTGCATTACTTTTGTGTGCTGTATTTCACTTGCTACCCGCAATCCAGTTTAATTAGATACTAAATGCTCTAAAACAGGTGTCCAATAAGATCAAAAAATGTAACTGGGAAATTTTCATTAAAAATGTAGTTTAAAACTTGAAAAGTTCTGTGAAAAGAAAGGTCGTTCGTTCATTTGTTCATTTATTTAAAAAGAAAAGGTTTTTGAGGAGTTACACCACGTGACAGCCTGAACTAAGCTTGTCTTGTTATTAAAACATTGAATTTTCTGATATTTTAACTAGTGCTGTCAAACGATTAATCGCATCCAAAATAAAAGTTTTTGTTTACATAATATATGTACGTGTACTGTGTATATTTATTATGTATATATAAATACACACACATACTGTATTCATTTCTTTTAATGCGGTGCGCTGTTGCCCGTGCTACGTAAAAATCAGTCAAATCATGTAACATCATTGTCATACAGTCTCTTTCTCGAGACAAAAAAAAAGCGAGTTTAAAGCGAGCCGAGCTGCGGAAGAGACACTGTTTCTCAAGTGTTTTCCGTGAGCACGATTCGAGCCGGAGTGAACACAGACAAAGGCGTTTCATTCATTCATAACTTGTAATGATTTGAGTTGGTTGAACCCAGAGCAGATCCTCCTATATGCAAAATACGCAAGCTGCGTAGGGCCCTCGAAACACCAGGGGGCCCCCTTGCTCTCAAAGATGATTTAATTTTAGGTTCGTTTTTGAATTTGGCGAGTGGTTATGTAAAAAATAAAGGTTTTTCGAATTTACAGTTTTGTTAAAATAAGATTTTCTTGAGCAATAATAGCAAAAGAGTTTTTTTTTCTTCATTATGTTATCAAAACATTGAGTCATGGTGCTCATACAAGAAAAGTGAGTTCAAATCTGGCTTGCAACATTCTTGTTTTCTTTTCTCCCAAATATTTTCCCATAAAAGTGCCAGAAAGTGTATAAACTCACTGTAAACAAGACAATTTAAAGGGATAATTCACCCAAAATTGACAATTTCATCATCATTTATACTTTCTGACTTCATTGACATCATAGCCATTGACTTTTCTTGTTTTTTTCATTTTTGGGTGTACTCTCCCTTTAGGTTTCAAATTGTAATAGTGATGCCTGCCTTAGCAAACACCACTAATTAACTGCAATTAACATATTACAACCTATATCCATAAGACTGTTCACATTTATTCATTCAGAAAGAAACACAAAGACAAATAGAGAGAGAAAATATACTTACTTGTGTCCAATCTCATGTGCAATAGTGAAGGCTGAACCAAGGCCTATATCTTCATTAATACTGCAGCTCCTCTCTGGCTCACACATTCCGGCTACGGACGCCAAACCTGACCGCACACACACACAAAAACACACATGAAAAGTTTACGCGAAAGTTTTTTTAAATCACCAGGGGGTGGGTCAACACTGACGGCTAGACGATTAAATAAAAAAACAACTGATGTTGTAGCTGGAAAATGTCTAGACACGGGGGTTAGATTTATAAATTCTACATCTGGTAACAAGGGACCACCTAGTAATTCAAACCAGAGCTAGGAATTCAAGAAAACACATCACTTTGTGCCCCTAAAATATAGATGTTTTTATTATTTAAGGTTTCAGAGTTGCAAAAAGAGTGAAAGAAATCATTGTTTTCTAATCCTGTTATGTTTGTTTTCTTCCAAATAAGATTTAGTTGACAATTTTGGGTATTAACATAAAACCCACATAAGCTGAAATTTACTACTGACAGTGTTTTGGTCCCCGGTCTACAGGGACTTGGCTTTCTGAGAGGTTTGTACTTTTTTAAGCTTTATGTTGCACTGTCATTTTCCTTGCCATAAATAAACAGGCCTGTTATTTAATTGGTATGGAATGAAGGAAACATTAAATCTACTCTCTGTTTTTATGTAGCAACTTTTGTAGCAAGCCACCTCAGTATGGCAGCACTGACATAGAGCACTTGGATCTCACAAAACTTTCACAAATCTTTCTGTACACTGCCTAATTTAGAACAACACATTCATCAACAGCAACAAAGTCAAGCGAAGAAGAATACAGTGGAGAATCGACTCACAATTGAGGTTTGGCTAGAGGTTGATAACCTAACAACATGCTACTCTAATAAGCATAAAAATACACACAAGAAGCAAATTTTCTGGATAAAATTTAAGCGATGTAAATTTGAATGAATTTGAGTTATTTAAAATAAAAAATCATAAGAGCTACCATTTAAAAAAAATACTAAAAAATGCTTTTCTGGGATTTCCTTTGCATTTTTGTTACATTAATGATTTGATACATTAAACTTTCTTCTGCGGAAGTATCAGAACAGCAGTCCATACACTGTAAAAATAAATAAAAAAGAAAATGTAATGATAATTAACTATTCATTTTATGGACAATTCTGTTAACCATAAAACACAATGTAATGAAGTGCAAAATTCATAATACAGGTTAAACACCTTTAAAAAAAAAAAAAAAAAAATTAATAAAATAAAATATATATATATATACACAGAAATCCCTTCATTTTAATACAGTACATTTTGCCCTATTTCACAAGGTTTTTTTGTTTTACAGTACACTTGTACACTGTATTCCATGTTTTCTGAAGCAAAAAGATAGCTAACAAACATTTAACAACTTTTAATTTCTTCTAAAAAAGGATTCATTTCATGTCTTACAAAAATATCAGATGTTTCTTCTTGACAAAGAAGAAGATGGAGCAAAGATTGAGTCTTCACAGTCTCAAAGCCAGCTGCTTCTGTTAAGGGGAGGGGGTTCCCTTGAAGCTATAAAGTGGGGAAAAGGGCTTTTGTAAAATCCAGGTGTCTCTTAGTTCTTTTTTCCCATCTATCCAGCCTGGGAGAGCAGAACAATTCTCAGCAGATTACATCTGTTGATGATTGGTGGGAGCAAAACACAAAACCCTAAAGGTAGATGCATGGAGGACCATCCAAGAAGCCTGCTCTAGTCGCTGGTTGGATCAGACACGTGGTAGGGTAGTTTATCTTTGCAAACTCAAATGCACAAAGGAAACCTCAGCCGTTAATTTAAAGTCCATAATTCAACAACTGAGTCTTGGATAAGTTACCTGTTGGGGTGGGGGTGGGGGGTTTCTGCACAAGAACAAGTAAATTTAAATATTTTGAAGAATGTTTGTATTCACTGGTATCTCACATTTAACAATTCACATTTAATAGGAGTTGGTGTCATCAACATTAAGCCTAGTGTAACGTGTCTTCACACGAGGTTGAAAATGCACTTGCCGCTTATAGAATTTGAGAGCTTTCCTCATATATGACTCAGTATATATACCATATGTTTTATGGCCTCAGTTCATTATACTCTTATGGTCCTTTTTGTGTCATAAATTTAAAGACTATGCTTTCATTGTATTTGGAAAATAGCAGCTTGGTGATTTTTGATCAATATCTTATCTTATCTTATAATATCTTATGATGTGTGGATCAATGAATTATTCATTCATAAATATCATTAATTTTGTGGAGTTGCACCATCTGACATTTTAAAACCTGAACTTACCTTGCCTTAAATAATGAATTATAAAAAGGTAAAACTGTCTGATATTTTAAGAGTCTGCAGGGGATGTTTTTTATGTTATTGTTTTCTGCATGTTGGTTGCACCACATGACATTGTTGGTCACACCACATGGTGTTTTCCCAAATATTAATAGGCAGTTATTTTTTTTTTCTAAGAAACAACAATAAAAGATTATTTCAGACTACTTAAGAATTTAATTCTTTTAATGAGGCTTTCCCCCTTCGTTTTACTATTAGAACTATCACCTTGACATTTTCGACTTCATGCCTCTCCAGAAATATAAAAAGAATTTTAATTCAGAAATTGAAATCCTGCTCATTTTTAAAGAGATATATTAATTGCATTTCAGAAAAAAAATTAATAGACAGAACGAACAAACGAACAAAAAAGAAATATAACCATGTCACTGACCCGTGATCCATGGAAAACACAGTAATACAGATTTGGAATGCTACGAGGCTGAACTACTGCTTTAAAGTTGATAATATAACAAAAGGGTATTGGAAAGGTATAAACCTGACCTCCCTGTGGGCAAAATAATATTAAAGATATTGCACAAGAATATGGAATACAGAGAAAGCTTGTGTCTGCTTGGGAACCATCGCTCCAACAAAGCACTTCTGGCCTCTTTATCTACCTTATCCAGAGGCCAAAACAAGAGCGGACATGCAAATCAAAGGCTAATAAGACACCGACTGGAGGCAAGAAGGGTAAAAAAGGAAAGAGATAAAGGATGGAAAAGGGCTAGTGGGCCCAGGCTGAGTCGAAAGCTCATTGGTGGGGTTTGTTTTCCTAAGTCAAGGGTCGCGTTGGTATTATCCCCGCTCTGCGATTACCCGGTGACCCCCAGAGGGCAACACGTTGACCCGAGATCACGATGATGCCTCTGGGTGAGTGGGGGGTGTTGAAGTGGAGATGGAGGTGGAGAAAGAGGAGGGGAGCAGCAAGGAAGCAGAGCAGATGCCAGGGCAATTAAAGGGACCCGGGGAATGTGACAAATGCGGTCAATCTGTCAAACCACCCCTGGAGTCACAATATTACTTCTAAGATATACGGTTCAGCCCTGGAGGGGGCTGGTTCAGATAAGACACTGCCTGCAGACCATTTAAGGGGGGGAAACACCAGTGTTTGCTTTCTCCTCAGTTATCCCGACTTCTTTAAACATATTAATTCTTCTTTTATCTGTTGTTCTCTGTTATATATTGTATAGTCTAATTGTCCTCACTGGTTTTCTTCTTTGGCTTGCCCAGGGGAGGGGTAAACACCTCCGTCCCGTAGCAGACAGGAGTGGGAATGTTTGGAAATGAAACAAGAGACAGCGGCGGCTGTAGAGGCAGGCAGGCGTTGAGCCATGTTTGAGCTCAACATGAGCTCTATAAAGACAGGGCAGCGAAGTCTTTCTCAATAATTTTACCAAATTATTTGTTTAACGAAGCATGTAGCATTTGCCATTCAGTGACATACGTTTGAAAGGTGAGTTCACTCTAAAATGAAAATTCTGTCATCATTTACTCACCCTCACGCCGTTCCAGAAGTTCCAGAAATTCATTCATTTTCGGAAGACAAATGAAGATATTTTTAATCCAATTCAATTCAAATTTGATTATGGAAGCTCAAGCATACTTGCTTGAACCACAAGAGCCTGTGAGGTTATAGTTAAAATCTACTAATATATTTACTGCCATATTGCTCGAGACTAACTGATATAAAAATTATAATTAAACTTTATTTGGAGTATTACTTGTGCACAATGCACATCTCTTAATATTAAGCCTAAAATGTGTTTTAATGTCACTATTGATGAGGATTGAATGATCTTTGAATAATAGCAGTCTTTAAATGCAAGTACCTGAAGTATACTTGCAATAGTTCCACTTTAGCACAATCAGATATACTTCAGTTATTCAGTTATACTTCAGATATACTACTTTAGTTGGACTTCAGCACTACATCCACACAATTAAAGTGTATTAAGAACAAAATTAGTTGTTCAGTTTTAGTAGACTTTAAGTATACCAAAATATATACATAAGTGTACCAAAAGTACAATTGCAGGTTATTTTTTAAGTACATAAATATGTAAATGTATCTGTAGTATACATTTTAGTATATTTATTTTTCACTAGGGTTTATATGTGACTAAAAGCCTAAATTAAATGTTCATCATATAAAGTGATTGTGACTCTTGGATTAAACCACTCTATTCATATACATTTACTTTACAATCTCTTTATGAATGTTTTGAAGCATCAACATTTTGGGTGAATAGAGTTTCAATGGAGGGACAGAAACTTCTCAGATTTTGATTAATATCTTGATTTGTGTTCCGAAGATGAACAAATTTCCTATGGGTTTGGACCAACATGAGGTTGAATAAATGATGACAGAATTTTCATTTTGGGACTAACCCTTTAAATCAAAATATATTTCGTTTTAGGATACATTTCAGGTACTTACCGAGAGTACCGCAGGGTTTGTTCTTATAGGTGCAGATGTCATACCTAAAAGAGAAAAGAAACCGAAAGTGAGGTCTTTGTATGACAGAAATTCATCAGAACTCCATGCGTTACTTATAAAGAAAACGTGAATGCCTTTGCCTGTGCAAAACTCGTTCGAATGGGGTTACTAATGTGTTCTGGGTGGCTGCTTAATGTCTGGTGTCAAAAAAGGGTATAGTCCACTTTAGACATTCTGCTAACTTCACAACTACATGTCAATTAGCAGTCATTAGAACATTTGTAGACTGCCAGCTTAATATCTGCTAACACTTTATTTTGATGGTCCTCCAACAGACATTGTAATGACTACAAGTAATTTTGCAAGTACATGTGAACTTATTCTACTAACCCTAACCTAACAATCTATTAATGTGATGAGAGTTAGTTGACATGTAGTTGCAAAGTTACTTAGTAGTTAGTAAAATGTCTAAAGTGGACTATTGAAATATATAGTGTAACCAAAAGAATCCAACTATGAAACAGTATGGCTCACGTCCTTCCTTTTATGCAATTCCACCCATTTTTTCACCCATTTTATCATCTACCACGTTAAAACGGTAAGTATTAGCACAGTGCATTAGTATGCGATTATGGTTCATGTCTGTAACACATAATCTTACATTAACATTAAAGGTCCCCTGAAATGTTTAGAAACTCACAGTGTTGCTCTATGTGTTGACGTCATTTTAACTGAAACAGGAAGACAGGGCGGGACATATCAAGCAGCCCTGCCCCTTTTTAAAA